AAAGTGTTGTATTGACATTTTCCTTTACTGCCTCAGTCAACAACGCATCTGCTTAGACATGAGCCCTGTGTCTTTTTTAAAAGTTCTATACATAAAGACAAGAAAGTGATATAATGATATGTGATATTTTGATTTGATTTATTCTTTCAAACATGCAGAACAAATGACATCAACACACACATAATTACACAGATCCAACCAATGCTAATCCAGAATCAGTTTGCTTATACCTAGTACATGTTTGATATAATGCTTACTTACAGCATGTGAAGGTTTGGTGCAGAGCCAGATTAGAATTAGAATCAAATTACTGAAAAGCTGATCTGGGCTGTTGCTGTAAACCTACATGTCAAAAGAAGCTGGTGACCCCATAATAGCTGTGAGCTCACACTGCTACATACTGAAGTGCTCCCTGATTTAGTTAATTTAGAGTCCTCTTGTCTGACAGCACTGGCTCCTCGTGATTTTCTGTCTCCACAGGGGGAAGCTCCAGGACGTGTGTTGGGGCTGTGTTTTGTTGCGTATCATCAGATATTTGTATTGTACCTGTGTTTGGCATCACTACTATTTTATGACTGCCCGTGTCCTGATGGAGCTCCTCGTTCAGGGTCTTGATTTCCTCTCTCATGCTTTCTGTTTCATTTTCCAACCTCCTAAGCTCTGTCTGTAGCTTTTCATTATCTTGTTGCAGAAGAATATTTGCATGTTGCAAGTCAACAGTGGTGTGCTGAACATCCTTCAAGTTGTTAGTTAGCTCCTGAACCTTATTTGTCAGACTCTCTGTGTCCTGCTGCATGTCGTCCATTGCTCTATCCTTGGACATGATCAGCAGCTCTTTACTCCTTTGGTTATGGAGCATGGACATCTCTTCCCTGTACTTTTTGTGGGCCTGTATCTCTGCCTTTAGAGCCTCATTTTCATTGTACTGGGCCAGTTTCTCTTTGATGAGATGTTCACATTCCTTTTCTTTGGCCTGTGCAGGTTTCTTAAGATCTTCAACTCTATCATATAGATCCACTCTGTCTTTATGCAAAAAGTCATTGTCATGTTGAAATTCCCGTTTTTCCTTGTTCCCTGACCGCTTCATGTTCTTTTTCAGTTTGTCCATCTCTTTCCTGTATTTTTTGTGGGCCTGCATCTCTGCCTCTAGAGCCTCACTTTCATTGTACAGGTCCAGTTTCTCTTTGCTGAGATGTTCACTTTTTCTTTGGCCTCTGTGAGTTTCTTAAGCTCTTCAATTATATCATATAGGCGCGCTCTATCTTTATGGAGAAATTGAAGTTCCCGTTTTTCCTTGTTCTTTGAGTAGTAGATGTTCATTTTCAGTTGGTCCATTTCTTGTTGAAGTTTGCAATTATTTCTGAGGAGGTCAAAGCTAAGTTGCAGAAGAATGTTTGCACGCTGCAAATCAACAGTGGTGTGCTGAGCATCCCTCAAGCTGTTAGTTGCCTCCTGAACCTTACTTGTCAGACTCTCTGTTTCCTGCTGCATGTCGTCCATTGCTCTATCCTTGGACATGATCAGCAGCTTGTCACTCCTTTGGTTATGGAGCATGGACATCTCTTCCCTGTACTGTTTGTGGGCCTGTATCTCTGCCTGTAGAGCCTCATTTTCATTGTACAGGCCCAGTTTCTCTTTGATGAGATGTTCACATTCCTTTTCTTTGGCCTGTGTGTATTTCTTAAAATCTTCCATTATATCATATAGGCCGAATCCTTCATTAAGGAGATTTACATTTTCACTTTTAAGTTCCTGTTTTTTCCTGTTCTTTGTGCGCTTGAAATTCATTTTCACTTGCTCCATTTCTTCCCTGTACTTTTTGTGGGCCTGCACCTCTGCCTTTAGAGCCTCATTTTTATTGTACAGGCCCTGTTTCTCTTTGAAGAGACGTTCATTTTTCATTGCTTTGGCCTCTGTGCATTTCTTATGATCTTCAATTACATCATATAGGCCCACTCTTTCTTTACGGAGAAACCTGTTTTCATGTTAAAGTTCCCGTTTTTTCATGTTTGAGCGATTGATGGTAATTTTCAGTTGGACCATTTCTTGCTCAAGTTGGCAATTCTGTCTGAGGAGGTCATCAATAACTCTTTGGAAGTTCTCACATTCCTCCTGGCTGACAACAGCAGTGGGTTTCTCTTGCTCACTCATTTTGTCAACTGTCTGATAATACAAATGTCTGAATGATTTGATTTGATTTATTCTTGCACTTACAGATGTGTGTCTGTCTGATGTAAAACTCTGGTTTTATCTGAATCTCAGTCTGGTGAATGCCCCTATTGTAGGTTGTGTTCTGGTATCCATAGCAACCACTAGATCAAAGCACAGAATGAACTGTGACGTCATTGCTATCCACACCATTAGCCCCGCCCTTAGCAGCAGTAGGTGAGTGGTATCCATGGCAACCTCCAGACAAACGATAAATGAATTCATTAGCAATAAATAAATGACTAAATTAATCAATCAATAGTCTGTAAGTCTGAAGTATCACTTAGATGCAAAACACACCATTGATGCCAGCAAATCACCGACCCAAACAAATAGTGGAGGGAGGCTTCGGCAGACTACGTTGCAGTAGGGCCGAGTTCCGAATGCAGCCATAGCTACTGGTCCCTGTGAGAGGGCGCTAAATTTTCAATGATGGCATGTGCATTGTGGCGTATACAAATTACAGACCTGTTCCTTTACTCAACTTTTGCGACAAGTCAGCATCGAACCGGATCTACATTGTTCTTTTATTTTGTGTTTTCATTATGTATTAACATGGTATATTTGACGAAGATAAGACAGGCTAATGTTGTCACTGTACTGTACATTATACATACGGTGGCGTGCTATCATTACAGTTTGTGTTTACATTGTGACCGCGACATGGTCATTGTTTATTGCTGCTGCCAGGCTAATGGCTAATAATACTGGGTCTGTCTATAAATAATAAACGTCATATTATTGAGTGATCCCTGTGTTCATGTGAGAGCCAAATAATGGAGCTTCATAGCATTAACGTTTACAGTATATTTTACGAAGGTTGTGTTAGAAATTAACTCAATTCTTTTGTTGGAAGCACGAGAAGTGAGGACAGGAGAGGACTGTTTAAAATCATGTAACCCACCTTATAAAAGGGTACGATGTGTGTTATAATTCTGTTTAATTGTTTCACGTATCAAACGCTTTGTTTTGAAAACCAGAAGTTTATTTTGGTAATTACAAGAAGAGGAAGTCTTGCCATTGTATGAAAAACGTAATGTGATAAAACATAGTGTACAGCTAGACTCATGCTAAAGAGGAAAAAAAGTCCATAAGAACTTCTTAAAACAGAAAAAAGAGTGAAAACTCGTCTTAAGTTCGAGGGAGCTCGTGCTTAACGTCAGACAACCTGAAGGAGCAAAACTTTAGGTGTTGAAAAACAGAACCCTTGGTAAGCTATTTCATAGTGCCAATGAATGTTAGCATGCTATGCTAATGATATGCTAGCGTTAGCTAGTAGCATTTTGCTAAAGAGACTAACATTATCCATGTTGCTGTGTATGATGCAGACAGAACAAACAGCAGAGGGGGTGGTAGGCCTTTTCACTTGGCCTCACAGCCTCCCATACTAGGAATGCATGAATTACAGAGCGCCCAGCTGAGACATGTATTTACTCCTAATTGGCCACGGCTAAGCCATCTGACTGGGTCTCAAGCTAAATGCAGGTGTGTTGATAAAGCTCTGACAGGGATATAAGATGGTATCTCTAAAATAAAGCTCAGAAATGAAAAAATATCACACAAGCACCCATGAACTTCTATTTTTTAGCAGTCATGCACTGTTTTGAATGTTTCTTTTATTCTTGGCAGTAGGTTAGATAAAGTCACATGTAAACTGTTCATTAAAAAAGTGAAAGCATCATCCTTTATGAATTATGAAAACCGCTGGGCTGAATGATGAGAAAGTGCATCATAACAATAAGCTTCAGTGAAACAAAATGATGATGACATAGTAGCACAAGTCTGTGATAAAGAGTGTGACCTTTAATTACAGTATGGCACCCATTAAAACACCCCTCCTGCTTTAGGTAATGCTGGAAGGATGTTATTTATGTGTGAGGTTTCATTCCCTCTTACCCGTGCTCCAGTGCTGAGATAATCCCTCCACTTCCTCCCTTGTTCTTTCCCCGCATGAACATGCTCTTCATTTTCATCTCAGTGATGGAGGGCAGTATGAGGGGCACAGCTGTGCAGAACAGAGCCAGCTGGGAAGGCATCAGAGCCCCAGACGCTGACTTCTTTTTCTGTCCATGGAGGAACTTCAGCCGGCCCTGGAACTGCATAGTCTGGGATAGAACAGAAGTTTGGTTTGAACATATCCAGAGGTCTAAATATCTAAGCTGGTCTTTAAAAATTTCACAGGTTATTTTCCTGTGTCTTTCTGTTCCTATAGAACAAGAACATTTTTCTTGTTTCCCTTTTTCCTTGAAAATTGATATCTACTTGCTCTTTTTGTGTTCATAATTTTTACACTCAAACTGATCTTTACTGTACTCTTCATTCTGTAGATACTCTGTATCTGTAATGTTTAAGAACAAAGAACAAACCACACCCAAGTTACTACGTTGCACATGTTAATAATTAAAGGAGACTATAGGATTTAATTTCCTGCAACAGGGCGCAGTACTAAACGCGTGTCTGAACTATAGGTGCAAGTTGAATGTGGGCGTGTTGAACAGTGTTTTGCAATTTTGGTGACCACAGACGCAGCACACTTTCGTGACCAGCCGTGGTTACTGAGCGCATTGTGGAGGAGAGGTGGAATACATTATTAGAGGGGGTAATACATGGTGAGCAGGTGGAGTCGGGGCTAGCTTTAGTTATGTCCAATCAAACCAGCTCCTCTCATCCCCTTTAAAGAGCAGGATGGAAACCCAACTGACTGAAGTCACTGATGTCAGGACGTGGAAACATATGAGAGGAAAGATTCTTTGCCTGAATCTTCTTCTCCTGCCTGTTATGTACTCCATTCCTGGACTGATAGTGACAAACCTATGTATGTAGAAGTACTGCACATACTGTAAATACTTACTCAGAAGTCTGGTAATATCACTGACTGGCATTTGTGCATGGAAGAAAGATAGTCCCTGATCCTGTAACCAGCAGCAGTTCTATACAACCCCAAGTTAGAAAAAGTTGGGACGGTTTGTAAAATCAAAATTAAAACTGAAAACAGTGATGTGTAAATCATCTGTATTCTGTATTACATTGAAAACAATACAGCAGCACATTATTTAATGTGATACCTCATCAATTTTAGTCTTAAAATAAACACTCACTTCAATTCTGATGCCTGCAACACATTTCAAAAAAGTTGTGAGAGTTGCATTTCAGGGCTAGTACTGAGGTAAAACAATGAAATGATGATTCCATTTGACGAAATCTTCTCCAGGGACAATGCAAAACCTTATACTACAGACATTACCAAGGTGCAGCTGTGGAGGAAAAGGGTGCTGGACTGGCCTGGCTGAAGTCCCAACCTGTCCCTAATAGAAAATGTGTGGCACATTTTGAAACACAAATTGCATCAACAAAGACGAACAGGATTGTTGTGCACCTTAAGACTTGTTTGCAGGAGGAATGGGACAAAGGTGTTTAGCAGCATCACACCGTGGCAAATGCTTTAGTATCCCAACTTTTTTGAAACATGTTGCAGGAATCAGAATTGGAGTGTTTATTTTGATCAAAGAATAAAATTGATGAGGTGTCACATCAGATAATGTGCTACTGTATTGTTTTCAATGCAATACAGGACACAGATGATTTACACATCACTATTTTCAGTTTTAATTTTGATTTTAGACACTGTCCCAATTTTTTCTGATTTGAGGTTGTAGTGTAATTTCTCACAGCTGTGTTCAGTGTGTGGAATCCACGGGGGTCTTGCATGTAACCTTATAAATATTTCACAGTTTTAAAAATAATACATTAAAATCATATTGTTATCACTGTATTTATGGTAAAACTGATTGAAAGCACATAGCCAGTGTATGTATCATTCACTTTTTCTCCACCTACTGCTGCTTTAAAAGCGGATCAAACTGCCATAAAATGCAAAAAACAGACGCAATGTATATCTCCACAGTAATAACGAAGGTGTGTCTGTGTGAGACTTGTTTGTTTGAAGAAACTGTAACTTAACAGTGACAGCAGCCACAATGAGGCCAGACTGATTTTACCTGCTGCATAACAGGATTAATGGAGACGTCTGCAGGGTGTTTGTTATTTATCATGGCTTATGATCTTCATGTGTTAATATGTGCATCTATGTGTAATGTTTTACGTGGATTTGGCTTCCCAAACACTGTCTGCAGATCACCTTTGGCTGCATCCTGTAAGCGCAGATGGTGTGTCCTGACTCGTACTAACACTGTTTGACCATATTCATATCTATAGCCACTGACAACTAGTTTATTTTGGTCTATCTTATATCAGAATCAGTGTTACTGGCCAGGTGTGTTGGACACATGAGGAATTTGGCTCTGGTACAGTGGCTCTCAATGTGCATGTACAATGTTTTTCCATAAAGCTCCAAATAGACAATTAAACAATATAAGGTTGAGAAAACAGAATAAAGTATTTATAAGCATAGAAATATATATTCAAACAGTTCAGATGCAGTTTTCAAGATAGCTATATACAAAGGTACATTTACAAGGTATTGCACTGAAGGTTGTCCTTCTGTTATATCAGTGTTATGGCCCAGGGAAGAAAGTGTCCTTGTGTCCAGTTGTTTAGGCGTACAGCGACCTCTAAACTATCACACCTATTTTATGATATGCAATAAATTATTCAGAGTGAATTCCAGCGGCTCAGTTGTGGATTTAATGGTTAATTTAAAGTTGGTGTGGCTGTTAGAATACATGTGTGTATCTGATCTGGTGCTTCCCAGCCTGTGTACCAAATGTCATGGCAATTCATTCAGTAGTTATTGAAACATTTCAGTGTGAACCAAGTGGCGGACCATTTGATATTGGCTTCTATAAAACTACTGTATCGCACAACACAAGGTGTATTTAATAAGGCAGTCAACCTATTCTTTAAACAAGAAAAGAAGAACCTTTGGCCTTTAGAATGAGTACCACTTGCTGCGTGGCATTTTTTGTGTCATTGCTGCAATCACATTGAAGAGGAATGCATCTTACCAGTATTTGCTCACTACTTGGCTACAAGTGCTTCCAGTTTATGTCAGAAAATTGTCATCTAGAGTTTCTGTTGTGTAGCCAACATTTGTGCAACTAGAGCGTACTTGGTGACAGCGAACTCCACTGACTCTGATGAAATGGTCCAAACACATATTATTGTTGTTGTGTTTAGCTTTTCCACTGCTGCTCTCCAAACCACTCCCTGACAGCCATGAGGGATGCTCCTATTCTACTGCTGTGTCCAGATTAGCTAATAATGCGATAACCCTATATTGCAATACAACATCTACATTATCTGTAAATAATGGTACACACTATGATAAAACATGAAGTTTTGGTGCACCAAAGGAACCGCAGTTCTTTTCTCAGAGTGTGTTCAACATTTCCTTTCTGTTTTTGTTTTTTGTTAACTTTGATGCAAATTGAAATTACTGTTCAGTTTAGCTGGAAATTTTATACCACCCACCAAGAATCCAGACGTGCTGTCCAAGAGGCATCGAACTCTGGCTATGAAACATCTGTTGAGAAAGCACGAGAGCTCAGGAGGAATTCCCCCCGCCTCTGGAGAATAAAACAGGCTGCTGACTACAAAATCATCACCTGTATCGTGATAGAGAAAAATGAAAGAGGAGAAGGATGATTTAATTTGTATAGCAATTTGTGTAGCTAATATAAAAAGTACTTCACAGACAGGAAAAAGAAACACTAACAGCAATCATCTGCTACCAATACTCTACTCTTACAGGGCAATTGATGGCACAAAATGAAGCATGTCAGTTCTCATATAATAATATTAGTAAGTAACCTAACAAAATAAATAAGCAAGTTATACTCTGGAAGCATTTTCCCACTGAACTGAGTGGGAAAGTGTGTCCAAACCTTTGACTGGCTTTAACCTTTGTATTTGAGAGATGGAATACTGCAGTCAGCTTTATGATATCACTTAATTAAACTGATATCTATATGAGGATCTGCCAGCATATTCTGATTTCAGTGGCCACAAAAGTGTCTCACACAAATTTCTCTCAGAATTGCATGCCAATCATTATATTGTTGACATACATATATGTGTCTGAAATAACCAGCAGATTCTCAAAATGAAATCAAATAAAGATGGCTAAAATATTACAAGAAGGCCCCACTGCAAACAAGTCATAACAGGGGCTGCGTCTCAAGTTTTTTATACGACTGTTCCTTGCTCCTTGATCAAGGAAGTCACAAGACTCTTATATCAGCTTTGAGGATCAAATCAGATGAAGGATCAAAGGAAAAGGATGTTTCATGTCTCTGAAAATGTTTCCTTGATTTCTTTCTCCTTGCATTTTTTTCTTTGCATCTTATGTGGACGGTACTAAGATGCACGGAAAAGATTCAAGTAAGGGAAATGTTGGTGCACATAAGAGAATTAGGATGTGATCGCAAATTTTGCTCAAGTGACATGGTTGCTACTCACCAGTCCCTGCAGCTGTCTGGTTATCCTGGTGTGCCGAGGTCCCCTGGTGCTGTAGAGGACACATGGCCCAGTGGAGCTGGCGTCTGAACTCCTGACGGTCGTCTATGTGGATGTAATCAAACACATTCTGGTGCATCACGTCGGTCTGTGAACGACACCAAGTAGATTTAGGCTTGTTTGTCATGAAAATGTTCCTTTTCATTAAAATGTCGTAACAGTCTGAGACATTTTGTGCTTCAGGCAAAGTCCTGGAAGTTTTACTACACATGAGATGATGTGTTCACAGCGCTATCCACACACTGACTTTGGACCACTGTGCTTTGCTGCTCATTGCCACCATGTATAACTGTTGGCATCTGTTTGGGGGGGAATTCCTGTCACTGCTGCTCAGGTACACTCAACCTGCCTCATGATTCCTAGGCAGTGTGATAATTGGCCCCATCACATACACAAGGACTGTACACACAAAGTCACTGGGAGTCACAGAAACGTGCATGCACCTTTACATACTTATACAGTATGCCTGCACATACACACAGGCAGGAGCATTTACCCCAGTACAGTAAGAGTCTAAGGGCAGCTGCAGAGCCAGTGAGGGCAGCTGTGTTTGTCAAACATCGCGTGACACCGACTCCTGAGCAACAGTCCAGCTCACCCTCCCCATTCACACACACACACAGCGAGTCGGGCTCCAGCCCGCTCTCGTCATGCCTCCCTCTCTTTTCCAGCTTTGCTCTGTCATTCCATGACAGATTCTTTACTAAAACATTCAACCTTCTCCTCTTCCCTCTCCTCCCTCCTCCCCGCACTCTCTCCAGAATTTCCACACTGGTGGCACGCAATGGTTTTTGATCGCCTGCCCCTGAAAACACAATCTGTTCCCACCGTCTTCGGCAAGCGTTTCGTCATGTGGTTTGGTTCCCTACTGGCAATCAGGCAGACAGACCAACTGAGTGACTATTGTGTATGTGTCTCATAAAAAGCACAAAGAGGAAAAGAAGAGAAAAACTGAAGCATAAGTGATATTTTTTGCTGACCCTGAAAAGCTAACTGCCCCAGAAAAGGATCAAAGGCCAGTGGAGGTTTTCTGCTCTTCTCCCTGGCTTACTAAGTGAAGCATTCTCTTTTATCCCTGTGATATATTAGGAATAAGTGTCCTCTTAACCGCAATTGTGGGTTCAGATCTATGTGACTTCTTGTCAAGGCTTGAGGGACAAATTGTGTGACTTGAAAACACTCGCTCGTTTGCAGGAATTGAAAACATGGGAAAGTCTAAGAGAATGTTTTGAACATATAACATGATATGTGAGCATTTAAAGGAAGACTTTCATTTATCATCTGCAAGGAGAGAGTGTTTCTCCTTCTGAACTGTGTGTATTCAAAGTCAACTGTGTTTTTGGTTCTTAGTCCTCAGGGAAAACTACCTGATTTGAACCTTCAAATTGATCTTGTGTACAGATAAAGTGATTTTCTGCCTCTGTTGATTGTACATCACCTTATATAGTGACATAGAATGCTTTGACTGCTTTGCTTGCTGGGATGCGTTGGCTCACAGTCAAGCTTGTGGCTCATCAATACCTTGTTTCTTCCTCTTGAGCATATCAAGTATGTTTTCCCCACAGAATTAAGAATATTGATGCAAAAATTATGAATGGGTCAAGTCTTACATAACCTTACTGCCATTTTATGTATTCACAAAGGACTTGTTGTGATTGGATTGCCATGAATTCATAAACTGGAAGTGGCAAACTGTGCCAACCCTAAAAGTGGCAAGATGTTGCCACATTTTCCAAAGTTGATCTATACTGTATACAGTACATACAGCATAGGCCTATATACAGTATATGCATCTATTCAGTAACTGTTGTAGGCTATACTGGAACAACTACTGGATGAGCTGACCCAATGTTTTTTTTGTACAGTCACTCGGAGTCCCCAGAGGATGAATCTTACAGACTTTTACTCTATCACCACCACCAGGTCGAAATGTATGACTATTGGATGAAGTGCTATAAAATTTGGTATGCATATTCATGGTGTCCATAGGATGAACCATCATGATTTTGATGATCCCCTGATGGGTCATCTAGTGCCATCATCATGTTAGCATGCTAAGCTATACCTACAAATAGCCTTATTAGCATTATAAGTACACTGAAAAGTGCACTTTTCTGAGAGCATGAAATGTGGCAAAGGAAATTTATTTGCTAATTCCTAAACGTGTCAAAAATTTTCAATGTTTGTTTACTATTTATTTGAATAAAAATACCTGGAAATATAAAACAACCCAAAGTAGAAGCTGTTGATTGAGCCACACACATGCATACATAACATCTTACAGTATGCACCTTACACCTATAATTCCCCGTTTTTACCAGCACCACAGCCAACCTGCACACATGCACACTCACACACTTTGTGGCAGGATCTTTCAAACTGCTTTGGTTTTCATGTCAGTTTCATGCCACTAGGTTAATGCCCCTGCCTGCTTGTAGGCCAAGTGGGAGTGCAGTGCCAGAAGAATTTATACCCCAGAAGCATAGGTTTACTGTGCATGCATGTGTGTGAGCAGACATGAGGGCAAAGGAAGGAGTTGAACATTGAAAAGCACTTTATTCTTGGGTTTGAAGAAGCATTGCAGGATGGGTGAGCTGGTGTTGATATCATCCATAATTAATGACTGGCTGGGTGTAGCTTCTAGAGAGGAAGTAAGCTAAATTGTTGGTGACTGATCAGTGCTCGCACACAGCTATATCCACACACATACGGTATGTAGTAGACCTCAGGGTGAAAGAGAGGTCTTCATCTTTCTGTGGCCTATTAACTATGATGTAGTTGTTATAATCTGCCCATTAGTTATCAGTCTGACTGAGACACAGAGGCTAAACATGCGACATAAGACATGGGATAAAAAGGAAAAGAAAACAGAGAACAGAACTGCTGAGGGTGGAAAAAAGGGATAATGGTGAACGTGCTAATTCAAATCAGATCTCTAACATTTTTTGAGCAAAAACCCTGAAAGAGGCCAAGTGAGAGGACAGATTCAATAGCGCACCTGTGAAAAGGGATGCAAGTGTTCACATCCAGTATGACTTTTGCTTACAAATTTGTTATACAGGAATAACATTACATTTTTGGATTAAACAATTAAATATGAATTTTAACATTTTGAGAAATGCTGTAAAGATATTTTCTTTCTTGTCAAGTGTTTGATTAGAAAATTGAGACTACTCTTACATTAGTATGCACAGACATGAAAACACAGCAGCAGAACAGAAAACATATAGAGCCCACATGCTCAGCACGAGGACTCTGGTTCCAATTCAAAATCATAAAAATATGATTTAGGATTTTCAAACCTTAAACAAAATTTTAGCACAACTCGACCCATACTGCTTTTTCATGGCATGTGGCTACCACATCACTGCAGCAACATTTAGCAACATTTAGCAAGCTTGGTGTCAGAAAGACTGAAATGGCATGATCAAAAGCAGCCACACAAAGACAAGAGAGGGAGTAAAAACACCTCGTTTTACAGAGAAATGTTGCATTTTGTGCACACAGGTGCACGACAGAAAAAGCAATGGTTACATCAGTGTTATTTATCTCATACGGTGTCCCCATGGTATTCTAGAAACCTGAAACAACAGATTAAGCAAACAACAACTACAGTTTGTAGGAGAGATAAATGATATCCTCTGTCTGTTTGTTTTAATGAAAAGCACTGGAAAATTGCTTCACTTTTTGTGGTACAGAGAATGTCACACTGCCACCTAGAGGTAGCAACCCAGATTTTTTTGTTAAGAAAAAGGGGGGCCTTTTGGATCTTCACTCAAAAGAGCCTCACTCCATTACAATTTATGCTGTAAATTACTATATTTTCTACTGTGACCAATTTTGTAGTGCAGCTGGTAAGTCCATTTTGTATTCCAGAGAGCTATGGCTGGATTCACACACACCTTTGCCCTATGCTGAAACAATGCAGCCCTACAGTATCCTCAGCTTGCTCCTGTATTGCTGAGTTTTTTGTCCCCGTGATTGGCTGATTCCTTCTCAGCTGCATGGTTCTATATGTATATACAAAGTGATTTAATACAATTCCTGGTGAAAGTCGCAGATGAAAGAGAACACAATGCCTACAAGTCTGTCTGTGTTTCAGTATAAAGTAATAAAACACAGATGCTCCTGTGGTCAGGAATTTCAGTATTACATATTAATTACACAGCATGTTACTTACAGGAGTGTACATCTATGCATTTCCACTGACCTGATGAAAACCCAGGTAGTCCACAATGGTTGAAGAGGCATAAAAGACCATCCCATCACTGCTCACCACCAAGGCAAAGCCTGTCAGAGACTACACACAAACACATTGACAAAAATAAGCTGTGACTCACAACAGCTCATGCATCAAATAAACTCAAGTGACACATAATTGACAAACACAAACAGCTGAATTTCATTTGTGCCATCTTTGCAAAGCTAATTTTAGAGGGCATGATTCACATTTAGCATTCATCCAGCAGAACACAGTGCAACACAGTCGCGAGAGTGAAATGGCTTTATTTGCAACCCGACATTACAACTGTTATGCATTTAAGCAATAGGCAAAATGCACCTAGAATTTGACAGACATTTTATCACGCCATCCATCCCTCCATTTTCTGCCATTTATCTGAAGCTGAGAGCAGGTTCAGCAAGGTGATCTAGACATCCTGCTCCCCAGCAATGCCAGTTCCTCCTGGGGGACCACAGGAGCTCTCAGGCTAGGTGAGAGTTTCTCCAGTATGTTCTGGTTCTACCCCTCTACCATCTGGATGGAGCTCTAGTCTGAGCTCCTCACCTTATCTCTAAAGTACAATGTTCCATTTGAACAATCTTGTCCATAAAAAACAACAGTAAACATGTAAACAAAGATAAAATAATGCAACACTGGAGAAGGAATGAAACACCGACTGTCACAGGACTGAGTGGGCTAATAAAACGTGTTGATTTGTAATGCAAAACATTGGTTGTGAAAGACGGTTTAGAATACATGCAGAGTTTAGATTCACTGGATTTTTTAAAATAAGTTATCTCAAAGATGCCATACAGTACAGTGCTCCCCTTTAAACTCATGTATTTTATAAGTTAGAAACCTTGATAACACACTCTGTTTGACTGGTAACATGCTTTGATTTGTGATCCAAAGACGCTGATTAAAAGCAGAGCAACTCCAGACACAAACAGCCTCCTTCTCACTTTCTCTTTTTCACACCCACACACAACCACATCTACACACACCCATGCACACAGGAAGAAATAGACAATTGTTGATTAAAAAGAACATTTCAAATAAATACATTCAGACAAATGAGGAGGGATAGACAGGTGGAGCTGGAGTGTGAGAGAAAATGAAAGCATAGGAAAGAGTCAAGGAAGAGGGGGGGAGACAGCTGTGATAGCTCGACCACTGACTAGCCGCTAGGGTTGCGTGACTGCTGCTGCCAGAGTCTGTCACCTCTATTTTACTGCGAGACTATGCAGGGCTACCCTGGTGTGTGTGTATTTTACAGTACATGGTATATATCCCTCTGGCCAGTGAGTGCACACTCATACTCATTTTCTTTCTCAGACTCATGGCTCATGATTGTGTGGAAGCAGATGTTGTTTGATCACTGATTTTGAACCTGCTTATGTAAAGTGTGGACACCGGTGAGCTCTGTGTGTCACAAAGAAAGGAGACAGCACCTTTTGGACCACTGTGAAACTTCGTATGGTACACCTTATTGTCATTCCCAATATATGTAATTACAGTATGTTCATCACTTAGTGGCTGCAAAGACAGAACAGCATGTTCAAACCAAACTGTATTTTTTTAAAACAGTGTATTTTTATCTTATGCCAACATTTCAGATTTGAAAAAAGTATTTTTTAGACCAAGCATTTCATTATCTAGGATCTTTGTTTATGGAAATCATGTGTCTAGAGTGGGATAAGATGTTTAGACACTTTAGCTTTTTGTTGTGTAATGCAGTTCAAAGCTGTGGGATTACTTCTGTAATTCTAGTTCATTCATATCCATATGCACTGTACTGAAAACTAGTGATCATGCACCATGGGAAATGCGGAGCTTAAATGATTTAGGGATCTGGGATTTGGACATTAAATTGTCTTGAATATAGACGTGGTGTTGATTTTGTAAGGTCATAAAAAGGACAGAGTTTACATGTTGGGTTCATTTAGGTTTATTGCTCCATTCCTCTTCCAAGTCATTGAGATGTCACAGTAAATTTTTGCAACACTTTTTCTTTTGAAAGGACTTTAACATTTTAATTTTCCTGGAACTAACAGGGTTTTGACTGAAAACATATGTGCAGGTTAACCCATATATTTTGTAGGTCAATTACCATAATTTAAAACATTATGGGAACACCCGTCATTTATGGTGGACTAGGACATCCCACTTACAGTTTTTTTTCCCATAAACACAGATATGGAAAGAACAACTGAAAAAAAGACTGTTCAATTATAATAATTGCTATTCTATTTTCATTATAAAAACAAAATACAGCAAAATAGCTCTTGCTTTATTAAAAGTAGAACATTTCAGGGAGAAAGCAGAAAATTCAGAGCTGGTATCAGCTGCACTGTGCTGCTGTTTTCTCCAGTCACATTTCCTTCAGTTCCTCACATACTAAAGCCTTTATGTAATGGAAACAGGCACCTGCTGCTGGACCACTCCATTATATATCTGCATCTATGACCTCCCTCCCCCAAATAACTCCCATATCCACCCATGGGAGACTAAAGACTTTGACTTAAAAACATAAAAGGTCCTTTGAAAGCAGAGCCAAAAATAAAATACTGTATATGTTCACTGGATTTGGAAGCAGGGAAGGGAAGAAGGAGGTGGTTTGATGGTAGTGGTGGAGCTGCCTTGTCTCATTGTTTTGACAGGGTGTTTCTGCTGTTTAACTGTCAGGTGAGATAAAAGCAGTGATGATGAGGTCAAGGCAAATGCAGACACCTCCTGCCACCGCAAGACTCCACACAACTGGAATCTGATAATTGAGATGTAATGTCTCAGGAGCTACTGGATCGACTGCTGTGAAATTTGGAACAAATACCCATGACTCCCTCGGCATGAACTGTAATCACTTTGGTGATCCGTTTGCTTTTAATCTTTTTGGTTTGTGACCAAATGCCTCTAAAACTAATGAAATTCCCATCAGCTTCAGCTGTACTTTGTGCTAGACAGCACAGCCAGATGGGGTTATTAAAATACTGGCATTCAAACCTCAAATGAATGAAAACTGTGTGGAAAACGTGATGTAATTATGGCATTTAAATCTATTACTTTATTAACTGGCCTTCTCATCTGCCCTAATGAGTAATCTGAATCTTTTTCTTCTTTTCAAGTGATCAATCTTTTCACCTCTGCCTGGAGTAAAAACATTTTTGCTATTTTTTTTTAAACTTTCCTTTTTTAAAAACAATTTCTGGCTTTTTATGTGAAAAGTGAAATAGTGCATAAAATCAGGTAGATGGCAATGTTCAGACTGTCATTGCAAGTATGTTAGTAAGCCAAGCACAACAGGGATTAGACAGTGGAGGTGGTGGTGGGGGCTGCTGTGCAGACCTGGTAAAACCAAACAAGTAGTGAAAATTTTGTTGTGCATCCCAGGAGAGGTTGTTCATATCTTCCATTGTGAAAGTGGCTTCTTGGAATTGTGGTCAGAAGGTTGTTGGTGCCTGTCATGGTGGCAACCTGAGAGTTTATGTGGAAACCAGCAGTAGGTGAGGTCACCAGGCTGAATAAGGAGACTTTCTGAGTATGGTTGGCTCAGGGGCTCCTGAGGGCCAGAGACACTAAAGGTTCTGGACTCTGTGGGTTTAGCCTGGCTGACAGGAAGCTCTGACTAATTGTCAAGGCTTGGATTCAAGAGGAACAATGCAGATTCTATCCTGACTGTGAAATGGTGGACCAACTCTTGGCCCCTGCAAGGCTACTGGAGGGGTCATGGTAGTTTGCCCGTTCAGTCTACATGAGTTAATCAGAGTAAGAGTTATGTTCATATTCTCAGTAAGACGTGAAACAAGTTCCCAGTGGTTGTTGGCCCTTGTCTCCAGTCCTGTTTGCGATTGTCTTGTCAAGCCTGTTTACTCTGATCACTTCATTTGGCACAGGGGACATATACCCCCTTTATTATTGCCTAGCATGCAGAGAATATGTGTGTTTGTGTGTGAATGAAGGATATAGGGAAGCGGAAGGCCTGGTGGGGAGTGATGGTGGGATCACACAAGCTTGCTAAAAAAGGCAAAGTCAGAAGAGAGTCACACATGATAGAGCTTTGCTGTAGATGCCCCTCAGATACTGGTCAAAAGAGCCAGTTCGGTGGTTGGCACGGAGCTGAACGCGGTGGTATCAGTCACTACTGACATACAGCCATTTCTGAAATAAAGATAGAGTACTTAGTCCTGTCATTTAGATGTTCTATATTTTATGGAATATAAATTGTCACACCTGAAGGAGTTCTATATACTGTATACTGTAAAATCCCATCAAGCACACACACACACACACACACACACACCTACTCCCCTCTCCTGGGATCCCGTCAATACAGTTTGCTATGAGGCTAAATCACAGGAGGCAGCACATCATCACGGTCAATCTAGCCTTTGGTTTATCATCCCATTGAGACAGCCCATTAACAGAAGCATCAACAGATCTGCTCTGTTCTGTGTGTGTGCACTCACTTGTTGACCAGTGCCATAATTTGTTGGTTGAAAGACTACCACATTGTGTAGCAATGATCTGATGAAACATGCTGCTGTACATGTCTGATTATGACAACCTGCCTGCTCTCATGCCTTCATTGCCTGTCCAGGACTTTAACAACATGTCTGTAGTTATGATCTGATTAAAGTTCTTAGGTCAACTGACAAAACATATTATATTTGATATGATTTCTGTTGACAGGCTCAGCATGTTCTTCTCACTCCCTTCTGCTGACTTTCACATATGACCACATGCAGTCAGACAGATGTGCACACACACTCACACACCCTCTGTCCTCATGCAGACAAATATGGTCTCCCCACTGTCCTGTATGCAACTAGTGAGCAACTCATCCACAGCAAGCCTGCTATTATCAAAATATCTTTAGGCCATTATTTGCATACATATGACACAGTTTGTTCAAGTGTATGTAAAAAGGGTTGCACAGACACAGAAATATTTTTACAAGATGCACATACAAACAAAAGCCATGATGTTTCTTACTTCCAGGAGCAGGCTGCTTTCGTTGATGGAGGTGCACAGCGGAAGGCTGTCTTTCCTAGGCTCAGGGTTAGAGGGGGCTGTGCTGGTGATGTGTTTCCTGGACGTCTTCTCTTGGCTCGCTATAAAAAAGAAAAAAGGTAAATGATTGTGCCCATGTACAATGAATGAATAAACTAATGGCAACCAGTGGGTTTAAAGAGCTAAAAAATATGAAACTGAAAAGAGGAGCCAAAAACCATTGAAAAAAGCAAACATTAATGTTAAATTTACACAAGCAGGTATATCCGCTATGCTGCATTCAAGCAGCGGAAAGTAAACACAAAGCACACCTCATATAGGTGAATTTCTTTAAAATAGTGTACAGAATATAGATTTAACACATGATGATAATTATTCTGTTTTTCAAAGTGTGCTCACCAGTTTAACCAGCACCTCTGTGATACAGCAGTGACAGAGCTGGACTGGCATTCCAACATATGGGACATATGGCAGACATATTAACAGTAACAATCTGTTTTTGCACTGCACTAATGCCAAATATTAGTCTGTGTGGTGGGTCTGTTTAACAAGACACAACAGTGGAGGATTTCATGACTTTACAGGATTGCTCTCATATGATATGGCCTTATAAACAGCTCTCTGGTACAGGACAGCATCTGGTGCATTTGGGACATCTGGCTGATAGCTGAGCAGTGTGGAAACATTCAAATGCTCATTACTGATTCTAACAACAAGTTGTAAGCATTATTAATCTTAAAAAGTTAATCTAGTATGATTAAAATCTTTTGAGTATTTATTACGCTCTGTGTGGAATGTATCAAATTTGTGTTAGGACCGGTGGGTCCAGCAGGTCGGAGAATGTGAGAGAGGGACTCAGAAGGCTAGACTTGGATTCTGGACAATCAGATATTTTATTAAAAAACAATACTTCAGATACAAGATAACAAAGGTGGTAGGAAGTGTAGCAAGGCTATAGGTGTAGAGGGTTCACTGTACTAGGCTGTGAGACTTATGGCGTCAACAGGCACTTGAAACCAGGTAGAGGAGAGAATAATGGAGAGCAATTAAGGGCCGGCAAGAAAACAGAGTGCAGGTGGCCATGAAGAGCAGATGGAGCCAGGCAGGGAAATCAGACAGTGTAGTGTAGATGGAGATACGTTGAGATGGCAGAGACAGGCTGGGATATCGAGCAGGACCAGAGAGACAATGGTGTTGCTGGGTGGTCAGTGCCTGGCAATGGAGTGGGACGATGCTGGTAAGTCAGCAATGATGCTGAGCCACCAGGACCCAATAGTAAGGCGACGCAGGTCAAGTGGGCCAGTGGTGCCGCCGGAGAGCCAGAAAAAAGTAGGTAACCAAGCAGGACAAGAGGACCAACAGCGCTGCTGAGGAAACCGGTAGCTGGCAGGTAAGTCAAATAGGATGGTGAGTTGACAGTCTCGTTGGGAATCTGGTTTGGGCAAGCAGATTGGACAGGACAGGCGTAATGATAATGTCACTGGGGCACCAGGAACAAGCAGGTAAGTTGAGCAAGAGAAATTGAGTAGAGAAATACTGTCAAAGAGCAAGCAGTGGTTGGCCAAGTGACAGGTCGGCAGGATCAGCAACAAACTGGCAAAGGCGATGCCTCTGCCTGCCAGTTAAGTAGGGTGAGGACTAATGAGGAAAGTAGTCACAGCTGTGCCTGACTGCCACGCCCGAGCCTAGCTCAGATTGCCAGGGAAGAAAGAGAGAGAGAGAGGGAGAGAGCAGCTGTGACAATTTGACTGTTTTAAGAGAGAGGATTTCTTCCTTCATGAACACAGATCTGAGAACAGCTTTTCCCTTAAACCCATCCTCTATCCAGCTATGACTTCCATCTTCTCCTTAGGAATCCTGAAGCATTCCCAGGCTAGATGAGATATATAATCTAAATATATAAACCTTGGGCCTCCTACCAGTTCAAAATGCCCAGAAGGCCACCAGTGGAAGGCGCCCAAGAGGAATCCTGATCAAAATGCCTGAACCACCTCAACTAGCTCCTTTTGACATGAGGAGCAGCAGCTCTAGTCTGAGTTCCCTCTGAATGTCCTGACTCTGCACCCTGTCTCTAGGGCTGAGTCCAACCACCCTACAGAGGCAACTCATTTTGGCCACTTGTATTTGCGATCTCATTCTTTCTGTTACTATCCAAAGCTTGTAACTATAGATGAGGGTTGGAGCATAGCCTGACTGGTAAATTGAAAGCGTTGCCTCCCTCTTCACCTCAACAATATGATACAATGCCCGCATTACTGCCGACGCTGCACCAATCCAACTGTCAAACTCATGCTCCAATTTACTGTCACTTGTGGACAAGACCCTGAGATACTTCTGCTCCTCCACCTGGGGCAGCAACTCACAGCCAACAGCATCACATCATCTGTATAAAGCAGGGAAGCAATTCTGCGGTCCTTAAAGCAGGCACCCTCAATCCAGAGGAGAAAGGATTTCCTTTACCAGAGAGAGCGACACATACTAGACATTTTATACATAAAATAGATAGAAAATATATAAAAGTTAGTACAGGGAGAAACAAAATGACAATGATTGTCATTCATTAAACGCTACAAAGATAAGCTTTATCCCTGCTAGAATGTCCTTGAGAAAAAAGTAAGAGCTTTTAAGTTCTAGTAGCTGCTACTCTCTAACTCAGCCCGATCTCTGGCCTTTATGTGAGGAAACACAAAAGGAAATTTCACCTGTGGATTTCAAGATAAGTCCTCAGTAGAGCACTTATGTGCTAAATGCTAAATGAAAAATAATTTTATAGTAGCAGAAATGATTCAAAGTTGCAATTCTCATCACTCACAGTTTTCACTCTCAACACCGCAGTCTCCTCACTAAAGTCAGGGCATTCAGTGTCAGCTTGTCTCTTCATCCCACTCTACTCCTCTGTGCCATCTGGCATTTAATAAAGTAAAGGTTCTACCACAGATTGACACACTCCTTCAACCACTGTACATATGCAGAACTGTCATATGGGCATTATTGATTTGTGTGTTTCTTTTACTGTCAGAGGGTGTGTGGCTCAATCCAAGAGATCAGCTCTTTGCTCGGCAGTCATTGTATCAGGCACAAATTAGTCATGCAACACACACACAATAGCCTCGCTATGAAAAAACAATGTATGTAAAACATTTTCCAGTGTTTTGTTCAGTCCTCTCCCACTTTAACCCGCAACAGCCTCCTGGCTTTTGTCCATCCCTTCCCCCACCCCCCCTTTTTCTATTCTCCTGCTTCTCATCTCTGCACCCTTTTCTTGCTCAACTCTGCATTTCAAATTTTGTTATTTTAATTCCTCCAGGAGAGTTTCCCCTTCTCATCTTTTTCATATTTGATCATGCACCCCCCCGTAAAGACTAAAAGTATAACTTTGGTTAAAGTCTGGTGAGAGCACTGACAGGCAGCTTTGTAAACTCACAGATGCCAGTAATAATGTTAAGTATTTTGTCATCACCTCTGCTAGGTGCAAGCACATACAAACAAACGGACTCAGACAGCCACACACTCTCTCAATCACCGTAATATCATCCAACCAGTGGAAACCATTGCACAGGCAAATTAATCTAATAAGCTTCTTCATTTTCCTCCTTCAGCGCCTCATATATTTTTGTTTTCTCTCTTACGGCAGTGTTTGGAGAGGATGCGACGTCAGGAAAGACAAACATACGAGATGATTAATTATCGGGACCGGCGCTTCCTCTCCCAACAATACAGGCTTTATTCATTACCGCTCGTGTCTTCGGGTTTGCTTTTCTTTGCCTCTATTTTCTCCTGCTCTGGTCTAAAAAGGAAAACAGAGTAGGTAATGGTGAAGCATTTATGTGCTCTGTGTGAGGACAGGCTGTTAAGTAAAAAATGACAAGTAGCGGGATGTAGATGCTGCCAAAGGGTGAGGCTGAAAGTGTTTAGCTCCTTTAGTCAGGCGGCTCTGTCTTTCCATTTCCACTGAATACACAAAATATTAGGGACCACCCACCAAATATGGACCTTCTGTATTACCTCAATTTGCACAGTTTAAGCTCCAATGAGATAAGTGAATATGGAGCCTATAATGACACTAGAAGATTCACATATGAAAAAAGAAATGTGTGACTTTAGAACACAGTCCTTAGCCAGGTAGTAATGTCTGCAGCCTATAGGGGGTGAGGTGAGTCTGGCCCTGTAGCAGGTTAACATATACAGCAGACTGGGTATGTTTGTCTTCTTTCAACACCCTCTCCTCCAAAGCCACTTCCCCCCACACTATCAGTAACAGCTGAAAACAAGAAATATGAAGACAAAGTAGAAAAGAAAAAGAATTAACCCTCCATAAGTAGAAAGTGCAGTGTGAAAGAGGGGTCTCTGGAGCTTTTATTCTCAGGATAATGGGCAGAAAAAACAAATTAATGTCTCACAAAATGCTAGAAAATCCAGAGATTATTGTTTCAATACAGTCTGGTACATTAGAGGATTTGAGTTAAAGATGACATGGCATGAAATTATGTTGAAGACAATCACATGATTCTAGCTGTTTTATAATAAGTGAGTACAGGAGTAACATGCATTTTGAATTTAATGGTAGATAATACCCCAGGTCCGTTCTTTAGCACAGGCTCCTGTCCACAGCAATGTGCAGAAATGAGCAGTGAGTGAAAACATGTGTTTAGAAGTTGCAAATTCACTAAAAATCAGAAACTGAAATATTGTATTTACTGAAGTATCTCAACCCCATGAATATGTGGTTCTGTTGTTTCTTGGCTGTGAATTGGTTATTGTCTGTTTTTTGAATTTGGATCTGAGCCACATCCACATGTGATCCTAGATCTGATTTATATTCAATGTTTGACCATGTGACCTCTGACAGAGCAGTCAGATTCATGTGTTTTTTTCAACATCTCGGTCCGCTGCACATGTTGCCTGTCATCATCAATTCAGTGTCGGCCCTTCACATACATAGAGGAGAGCGATGGGGGGTAAGTGGCAAGACGAGGGCATTTCACATTGTATTATATTATGAACATGGCTTTACTCTGTGCCTCTGTTGCTCTGTAGACACATTCTTATGAACAAAATAACTTGATACATACTACAAACTTACACCACATACTCCACATGA